AAGTTTGGGGGTATTTGTGAGGGGGGATCTTTGGGTTTCGTTAACCGTCCTCCCTAACCATTTGTACACAACAGTTTGCGACTTTGAGTGGACTTCCCTTGGGCAAAATATATCCAATAATTTTACCAAATTCTTATATCAGGTCCAGCTCAGACTTAAACATCGAAACAAAAAAAAGAACAGACAACTGAGTTATGGTTATTGACCATCAATTTTGGATCTCAAGTGACGCTTTTCAGTTTTCCACTTGGAATACTGAAGCGTATGGCAAAACCATTCGAGCCATTCCACTGTGGTAGAACCAATATCTTGAGACTCGATTTCGACATCTCATTTAATTGGTGTGGTTCATTCGTGAATGTCAGCTCCTGTTACACGTGTAGATGATACGCTTTTGCCATTTGCCAGAGGTAATAACAATATTTTGTCTCTTTTTTCCAAGAGCTGGACCATTCAAATTGAGACTTCAAATAAAAGACAAAAATCCAGTTGTATTAACATCTTTGAATTCTTATTTTGGTCAGGAGCAGACAAATAAGTATCAATTTGCACGGATCCCGGATCCCGTGCATCCGACCTAGACGTAGGAGAAAAAAAAGATCAAAATTGATCACCCCAATAAATTCTATAATTAAATTATGAAAATTCATAGTAAGAGACAAGACATTGTATAGGTTTCAGTTATGATACTACTCAAAATTTTGATTCCTTGAATTGAAATGGAATAATTGGATTGTTGAACGACGGGTTTCGCCAGTGGGCAATTCCGATCTGTTTTTTTCACTCCACAAAATTAATCCTGGAGTCAACGCACACAATTTCGATCTGAATATACAGCATTTTATATGCAAATGTTTCTTCTACACTCTTCTTGAAGAGGTTCTGATTCTTATTCCTATTCTTCAAGATGGAAAATCTCTCTTCCCGATGTCTTCAAAACATCTCGTCGGAAGAAATCCGAAATTTCATGGGTACGGTATTTGGAAATCCTTGGTCTGAAAGTAATCCAGATGGTATCTTTCCTATGGGTATTGCAGAAAATAGACTTATGTATGTTTGATTCTACATTGGGAATCGGGTTTCCATCCTAGCTATGATTGACGGATGTGAAAATTTAGGCATAATGAAATTGCAAACTATATAAACTCAAATTTTCGGGCCACCCCAAAAAGTACCTTGATGCATATATACATCATCTCAAAATATATAAGTTCTAACAAAATGCAGTGCTCACATACGGAGATGGACCAACCGGTTCCTTCGAATTGCGTGCTGCTCTCGCCACATTCTGGAATTCAAATTTCTCACCAAAGGAATCTGTGTCCAGGGATCATGTAACAGTTATGGGAGGAGGTACTTCTATTCTTGATGCATTAAGCTATTGTATCGCTGGAGAGAATGAAGGGATTTTAGTTGCTCAACCTTTCTATGTTGGATTTGTTGGAGATTTCGAAGATCGTGCTAGGTGTGTTTTGCCTATGATCCTATCTACCGAAGTTTTTATGCTCACTCGAAAGTAAAGAGTCAAGGTGGTTCCTGCACCGATCGGTGCACTCGAAGATGTAACTACCATGACTGGAGTCAAGAAACATGAAGAAGCACTCATTGACTCGAGAGAGAAGGGTGTGAAGATTCGAGGACTCATGCTCTGTAACCCTCACAATCCTCTTGGAAGATGTTATGCACCGGAAGTCTTGGAAGCATATCTTTCTCTCTGCTCAAAATACAGTATCCACCTTATAAGTGATGAAGTATATGCCATGGCTGTTTTTCCAAATCAGGATATACCGAATCCAATGTCTTTTACCTCGATACTTTCATTAGATATTGGGAAGTTCTGTGATCCGGCCTTGGTTTGTGTGATCTATGGTATGAGTAAGGTATGTATTGGCTTTGACTCTAGGCACCTACGAAGATTCCAATGCTGATATACATTGCTATAGGATTTTTGCTCGAATGGCCTACGTATTGGATGCATCATCTCACAACATAATCCCACGCTCCATCGTACTCTAGGAGCAATATCAAAATTCGCTTGGGCATCCTCATTGTCTGATCACGTATGGACATTAATGTTGAATGATCAAAAGTTTCTAGATTATTATTTCTCAACGCTCGCTCAAAAAATGAGAAATGCGTATGAGCTCTGTACCAGGCGATTGAAAGAATTCGGCATTTCTTATATTCCTGCGTAAGCACACATTTCCTTTTCAGTTCAAACCACGGGAGCGAGGGACTAATAGACGTTGCGAAATACAGATCTTGCGGTCCTTTTATTTGGATAGATCTCCGTTCATATCTTACATTCCCAACCATCGAGGCAGAACGTATAGTCTCGTGGAAGATGTTGAAGCATGGGATTTGGTTAGCTACAGGTGAAGCCTTTGCATCTGAAGAGCCGGGTTGGTATCGTATTACTTTTGCTATGGAGGAGAAAGATTTGAGATTTGGTATGGATAGGTGAGTTGAGATGAGAATTGGATAAAACAATTGAGATTCTCTGCTAATTCATTACTCATGATTTAGATTATGGAAAGTTTTGGGTATTCTCGAAGAAGGCAAGACACAATCTTTACTAGACACACAAAGCTGATGTAGAGTCGTTGGAAAGAGTAGATCAACATGTAGATCGAGATATTGAACAGGAATACCCAGAATCGTCTAATTCTTCTCATCTTTTTCAAGAGAAAACTCATCTCGCATTCGTTTTACAATGAATAGAACATTAGAATACGCTTGCTTCAGTCCACTCTTGACATTGGAACACTCGTGATCGTTAGAACCCCGAGGAATGTGCAAAGCAGATAAGGTAATACTTAAGTCTCAAATACAGGCACGCAAGACTACCAAAAACACGTAGGGGATATGGTGAAATTTGACTACAAATAGCTGCTTTTTCTGAGCTGCTTCATTCGTATCCTGTAATATCTAACCCCACCAACCCCACTCAAATCCTAGCTCTCGTTTCCATTTGCAAGTATGAAGAAGTAATCAAAAATGCACTGGTTCTTCAACAAACAACGCCCGTTTGGCTTAGCGGTAAAGCGCATCACTAGTACTTGTTTCCAAACGATGATATGATGAGATCCTAGGTTCGATTCCTAGAACGGGCAATCATCAACTTATGAGGGGTAGCTTTTTTGCTTTCTCTGCTTGTCTTTTGCCGCAAATTTTGTCTATGCTAAGTCTCATAGGTACAACAGGCGCAAATGTACCAAGATCTCAACATGATAAAAAGGAATAAATACTCTTTAGATCACACAATATCCTTCAACCAATAAGAAGAATCAGGACATCTTGAAAGGTGGTGGGTACAACTCGGTATTTGATTTGTTTGGGGTAGATGCATCAGCCCGAGCCCCTGACGATTCGCTACGCCCCGCTTATATTCTTGCACCACACAAACACAACATTTGAAAAAATTAGTGGTCATTTTGGATTCTCCACATGCATGCGTATGTTTTGACCTATCAGACACATTTCTGATAATCGCCGATCTCACCCAACTTCTCGCGTTATCTGATGACCCAAAAATCGAAAAAATAACGTCTTTAAAAAAAGAAATCTGGAAGGAAATCTGTCTGGATGACGAGAAGAAAACAAAAATGTTACTCGCATGAGATCAGAAACTCTCTGACGGGGAGTCGAACCCCGGTCTCCCGCGCATTGCCAGATGATGACAAGCGGAAATCATGACCGTTAGACCATCAAAGATGTTGTTTTTGTTGGAAGGGAGTTGTAATTTACGTATTATATAGCACATTTCATGACTAGGCAGTTTACATAAGGATTCCTCTTAGTTCTGAAAGGTCAAAGTGGGGTAATTATCTGGGGACAACTAGACATCCATTTGGAACTAGATCTCGAACCTTGCGGTAAGATATCAAGAGTTCTAGACTAGAGTAATTGCTGATATATTACTACAAAGTCTATAAAGCATATGCCTCACACGTTTTGGGACTCCACGCTATCAACATTGTCTAGGTAGATAACCACATGATACATCCCATCAAGTTCCCTCCGACTTCTACCAATCATGAGCAGTAGCTTCACACGCTTTTTAAACGGGACTGAATGCCTCTCGCGTGATCCATCATAATAAAGCTTCGAGGTCAAGATAGAGCTTTCCCTAAACAATATGGACTTGGAAGGAAATCGTATATATATGTTTAAAAAGAATGTGAAGAAAATCGTATATCTATGTTAAAAAAAATGTCGATGAGAATTTAAACCACATGCACCGCCGACATCGATAAAAAGGCACAACTACTGTAATCAACACGTCTCCGATACTCTCCAGATCAGGCTCACTGTATCTCACCATCCCACCATCCCAAGCAGCGTCTTCCAAATCTTTGTCCCTCGCGATATGGATACTTTCGACTATCCCATTATCAATTTCATCTCATCCACCATCATTTCCTGTTAAGATTCTAATGTTTTTTTACGATACTGCCAGGTACAATATAGATAAACCAGTCTCCATTCTTCTGCGTACATATAATTTTTAAATTCCTATTGTGTAGCAACTTATAGAACTAGCTGTGTGTGGCATTTTAGAAGATAGAAATTATTGATATGGAATTGGAAACAGTACATACAATCTCAACCTACTTAACTAATCGAGAATTCTCACTTTGTTTCTGAATACCGGGAAACATCATATTGAAAATATGGAGAAATGTTTTTGAGAGAGAAGCAAGAAATCATAGGCAGGTAGTCTGATAAATTCCTTCTTTATAGATCGTTTTATCGTGTTGGTTCCACAAGTTGATATAATGAAAGATTACTGTATATGCTATTCACATCTCTATCGTTTCTAACTCGATACTCTCCACTCAGGTTTCCACTTTGAGTCTAAATCCCCATCTCAGTATCGCTTCTCACAACCTTCCTTCATCTTATCACAAATCTTCAACTCCCTACAAGCCACAATCGTAAGCTCATGGCATGCTTCACATTCCCGCCTCAACTGTCTGTCCAACAGCCAATTTCAAGACCTATTTATCATCTGAGTGAGTAGTTTCATATCCTGGTTCTAGACCAGGCTCAGATGGTTTAGCTGGCTCGGATCCGTAATCTTTGGGTGTTTCAACTGGAACATGTTCGCGGAGGGCGAGATAAGTTGTTGGCAGACAAATTACTAATATCCGGTTAGTGAAGGGAAGGGGGGGGAGGTTGAGGTAGGGAAAGATATTGAGAGGATAGTGGACGGAACGCATAATGAGAGTGGAAGTAGTAAGAAGGAAAGCAAAAGGCAGGTCTGAGGAGACTAAGTCTGGTGAAGTAGAGAGATGAATAGAAAACGCACCAAGTAAGATAGTATTTACAACCATTGGAACACGACCTCTATACCAATCCCTTGTGTTAATACCGAAAGACACAGCTTGAGCGAAACTTTCTTGACCACGAAGAATTCCTGTAAAGCGTGCTTTGTGACTGTTAGTACCATATTGAGACGACCAGAGTCAAGTTTCTGGGAAAGCAGCTCCAATGAAAGCTTAACGTACATAATTCTGAAATTTTATCCGTTTCGGTGGATACGAAATAGTATAGCCAATTCTGTAGTGATTGTTGTGAGAAAGCTATGGATGGCGTGTATCATTAGCAGGTAGTTCTTTCTGATCATATAGTATTGCACGTGGAAGAGTTTGAAGAGAGGGTACATACACCATAACAAGATGACAAAAAACCCCTTAGTAAATTCTCCATCGGTCCAATCGAGATCAGGTTGTTCGGCACCGAATTTCTCATTGACAACCCAGGCGTACGTCCAAGCTACGATATGCCAGAAAATTACGTAGTAGAAACTTTTTAATTTTGTTAGTGGATGGAATTTGATAGGTCTTGAAAAGTTTGACTGGTAGAAAACAAAACGATTGGGCGGTAGACATACCCAATATTAAGACGTTGCTTGACTGAGATTTTCTTGTAATCAAGTAGCGTACTCATGATTTGGGATGCGAACAGGTTGGCGAAATTGCCTATTCATCGTTAAAAGATGGGCTTGTAGTTGAATCTAGGGAAGCATACCGACGAAACCAATCAAAGCTCTAGCACGAACTCCGAAGTAATAAACCTCATAATCTGATAAATGTCAGTTCTAGATTCTTGAAGTCTAAGATAGGGGATTCAAGTACTTACTTCCAGAGTATTGATTGAAGTATGCAGCCCAAAAGACAAGTAATAGTAGTAGAATCTTCAATGAAGTTAGTGTAGTTCATAGAAGAAAGTTTATCGGGTAAATATACATCGCGTCTTGCACATGTTTTAATGAGCGCTCTGATTTCCGCTTTGAAAGACTTTTCATGCACAATCTTGATTTTCGATCCATCAGATCTTTGGGCCTAATGAAGTCAGCAAATTAGTTATGGATAGTATCTAGATTCAACCGACCTTGTCTGGAGGGGAGAGTGCAAGAGCTATGAAAGCAGCTAGACATTGAAGGGTGATGAAGATAATGTATACAGCTGTATGGCGCATTAGTGATTTTCCAAAAATCAGACTTCAAAGAGAATAAAAAGAGTCACTCACCATACCCAACCTTTCCCTTTTTCTTTTGGTTGCTCGCACTAATGCCTCGTTAATAAGAGCCACAAAGCATGAGATATTCAGACATCACACACTGATTAAGACCCAAAACAATAGCACCACCAACAAGCGGTCCTCCTGTACGAAACCACAACCAAATACTATTTTCATTAGCTCATTACCTCCCATACATCTCGAGACAACGGATTCCACGCACTTCATATATTTTCCTCTTTTCGCCGGTTCCGGATATCCCAAGCAACTGCTCCCTCTGAAGCCCAGAACAATCCTGCACTGAACAAGATATCAAGTCAGTTTATCTATGCTATATCAAGCTAGTATTCTCCAAACTTACGAAATTCCACAAGTGACAGCTCCAACGAGAACCAGCCAAACAGTTCCGTATCGATTGTTCGCATATAAACCAGCCCTATGCTTTATTAGCACTTCTCCTTGTTGAACTCGAAAGCGAAGGAGAAAGCATACGAATAGACTGGATACCCCACTGCTCCAAGCGTCAATGTATACTTCAATCCTATCCGATTCGCAATTGGTCCTCCTAGTACACAAGATATTCCCACTTCACATCCAATATTAGCAAATTTTCAAAGGTCAAATCTCCTCCCCAAAAACATACATCAAGACCAAGTTAGACTTGAAGGAACTTGGGCAAGGAACACACTCAAACCAAAAACCAATGCGTTAGCAGCATTAACCAAAAACGGCGATTCAGCACCTCCAGCACCTAGAGACGACATCGCATTCCACATTCCCGGGGCCAGAAATCCTACTGCGCCTATTACAAAGGCATGGAAGAGGGATGAGCGGTACCATAATTTTTTCTCTGGTTGCTGTTCCGATGGCGGTTGATCTAAGGAAGTCATGGTTGCTACAACCTGCGAGCGAAGAGGAATCGGGAGTTATGACTGAGAGAGAGAGGGATATCGAATACGAACATCGTAGATGGAAGGAAGGATATATATCTCTACACCAACATCTAGCCCAGTAGGTAACCACTGAACCAATATTGAATATTACCTCACACATATACAGATTTTTCAATAGCCATGTCCATATTGTTGGAATCAGTATCCAGCTTCCTTTCTAGTCGTGAATCTCACTTGGCTACAAAGCTGCTTTTGATAGAATACGAACATTGATTTTATATATGCTACAAAATCACCTACATTGAAGAATTGCGTGATGGCATAAAATAAAGCAGCAATACATTTTCAGATGTACATTCAATGCGAATTTGACGCAGGTATGGCGAATGATGCTCATCATACATCCTAGTATGTAAATCCCGACGTTGAGCCGATAATACCCAGCTAAAATTTATATATAATCCACTTTGAAGAAGGTAGATGAAATATATTTTATATATGTTAGGAAGCTGACCCCAAATTTGTTGATACGTTCTAGATTGCTATCTGTCTGTATGAATCATATAGCGTCGCATGAACATGGGCAAAATCGTTCATCACAGTCATATATCCTCCGCACAACTTGCAAGTACTCACGAAATTTTTGGCTCAGTAATATTTGTACAAGACTCCACATATGTAGGATTGTTTATCCTGGAAATGTTGATGTGAACAGAACTAGCTGTTCAAAGCCTTTTGTGTATTAATATCATTTGGGACATTCCAACCATGTGGGGTATTCAGGGCGGGTTGGAAATTCATGCCACTTTGATACATTGAAATAATCTGGACCATTGGAATCATTTGTCACATTCAAGCCACTTGGAATGCTCAAAACAGTTTGGACATTCACGCCACGTTGGGATGTGCAAACCATTTGGGACATTGGAACCACCATGATATATTCAAATCAATTAAAATATTCAAATCCATCCATTGAAAGTTTCAGGTGCAAGAGCATCGATACATAGTATTGATCAACACTTAGAATCCAGCAATAATCCTATTCAGCTCAATATCCAGCTACAGCTGAACATCTCCCCCCAAGAATCCTCACTTTCTCTCTCCAGCCCTCGACCCATCCCCCTCAACAGAATCATCATCAAGCTTAAGCTCCTCGAAACTCCTGATAGGAATAACGCTTGTCTCCCTTCTAAACGACACAGTCTTGCTTGCTTCAGCGCCACGAAGAGTCATCGTAACAGAATCCGAAGCTCTTCTCTTGATCCTCTTCGACTCCAATCTTCCACCACGATTTTCAGCAAGATCACCAAATTCCGTGCTCTTGGCGATACTCTCGTCGGCTCTACGCTTGGTCGAAGTATTGAAAGCGTTTGATCCCTCCACACTTCTAATATTGGCAGGTTCAGGAAGAAAGAGCTCGGGGATCTCTTCGATGAGTTGAACTTGGTGCTTACGACGTTTCTTGGAACCTTGAGGCAGACCGCGGAGACCCAAAAGTATACCATGCTCGATGGAGGCATAGAAATCTGTATCGTTGTCGCGGTTTGCGTTGGAAGAGGAGCCGTAGTTCGACGTTGGCTGATGGAAGTAGATTGATGAGCTCTTTCTACCCATTAGCGCGGTAGGAAGATTGGGGTTGTCGGAGGTCATGGGTGAAATGACTGGAGCGGCTGGTGGTTTGGGATTCGACATGCTGGCTTGTTGCTTTGTGATAATGTATTGGTATTGTTGTTATTCTTGGTGTAGTAAAACTGGTTTCAATGGCTTGAGAATTGAAGGAAGTGTGTAGAATATCTCAAGTGCGGCTTGGGACTGCGGCTTGGTCGAGATTGATTGACTGTGGCTCGAATGACTGTCAGGATCAACTTCAGCTATCTTATATCAACTTAATTCACACCTTGGTGTATTGTGATAATGTTCACCAGTAGGTTTGGATATTTACAAATCCCAACTTCAATGGATATGTTATTGTAGATTGTGATGGTAGATTGATTGTTGTTGTTGTTGTTGTTGTTGTTGTGGAATAAAGACATTAATATATTATAGTATGAAAATGAGACCTGGTGCTCCTAGAAAGTATGAATTTGGAAGAATGAGAAGGAGTTCATTTGTGTGCCTTGTTAAACCCTACTTAAGGTTTGGTTCACAAGAGACGGCAGAAATGTGTTGTTCACGAGAGTGAATGATATCATTTTGTTCCATCCATTGCTGTAGTGCTCACTAAGAAAAGTGCCGACGATCTAGTCCCCGAATTTCGTCATTTGGAGGTTGAGTCCCATAACGAGAACAGAATCAACTTCGATACGATAGAAGTTATGCTAATATCAATAGCACTTCTTGCGAATGTAACTTGTCTTCCAGTGCCATCCAATGCGCCACTTGCAATAATATATGAGGCTTCATTTCTGCCTGCATTGCTGGAAGAATCGAAATCCAGAACCTTATTCCCCAACTCCAAACCATAATGCAAATACGTAGGTAATACACGATCCCCCGATCCACAGCTTTACTAATGGTTCCGAAAATTCTTTTTTCTACACCAAAGACGTTAATATTCATTTGACCGCATTTTGAGGAAGGGGAAACCTTACTGATAGAATAAATCCGTCCTACTACTACCCAGATTGATAATCTTCGGACACCCATCGCGGTCCTTTTCTAATCTTGTACATTCGAAGCAATAGAAAGCGTCTGAAATGCCTTCACCTCCACATACGACACATTTGTTTTGATAGTTTCCGAAACTACACTCTTCGCAGATGCGTACGAGAGTTGTGGGACGAACGTAGGAATCGCATACAGGGCACTTTCCATCGCATTTATCGCAGAGACGTCCGATAGCAATACCAGATTGCTTTCTGCACATTACGAGATCTCTAGAGGCATATTAGTAGCTGTAGTCTCAAAGTAGAGAAGATTTGTACATACGGATGATGGCGAGACATATTTAAGTATCTCTATAGATATGAAGCTGTAAGTTATCTTCCTGCACAGTTCTCAAAAAGCAAAGGTACTTCAATTTTGAAAATTGCCGTAGCTGGAGAAGAGATGGTTATCTGAAGAGCTCAAGATATTTGTTATTGATATCACCGCCACCAAAATATCGAGCTTTCGTTCTTTGATTTCTAAGCATTGACCACCACGCTAGTACCGACAGGGATCTCTCAATACATCGCATATCCAGTATCGCATGTGAATCAAACGGACGTGATTGAATGCTTTGGACAATTACATTTAATTTTCTACTTATCTGGTCGACATCATTTCGAAAAGGTCTACTAATACATTCGAGGTGGTGGTAACGAATATGACAGACATACCAGCGTGAGTAAAAAAGTACTCTGGTCCTATCATGAAAGCTTACTAATAAAGATAGACCCGTGGCATCTGCAGTTGTCGTTCCTAAACAAGATGCGCCAAACGTTAAAAGTCCCCGCAGGAAGCGTCGACAATCATCCGTGTCCGAAGATGCTTCTAAACGTCTCCGAATCTCCACCGAAGACAGCGCCATCTCTACATCCACTTTACATTCCTCTTCACAAGCTTTAGATTCTACAAAGCTTGAATCACCTGGAAAGAATCAACCTCTTGCTGTTTCACCAGAAACCTCGAGAAATGATCGTTCCGAAAGAAGACGAAGTAGCGTTCAAGAGGAACGCAAGCGTGGCCAAAGATTATTTGGAGGCTTGTTGAATACTCTTAATCAAAGTACACCAAATGGACAACAAAAAAGGCGACAAGAGATTGAGGCACGACAAAAGGAGAGAGCCGCGCAACGAAAAGCTGAAGCAGAAGATAGGAAGAAAGAGAAGGCAGCGAGTCTTCAAGCGGTACGAGTGGTTGAGCAAGTGAAATTTCAGGAAGAATCGGTTAGTGGTTTCTGAAAAAGGGATGAGACAAGACTGATATGTTTCTGTAAAGATGCGAATGCGGCATTTGAATATGCTAGCTATGGCCCAGTTTCTTTCTACAGAAACAGAGCCAAAACTGGTAAGGACTAAACTTCCACTCATTCCGGGTATGATTACTGATCTATCAAGTATTACAAACCATGGCAATTATCACCCAATAACGAAGCCAGAATCAAGACCCAAATCAAAGAAGTAGAGATGTTGATTGAAGAAGAAAAGTCACAGTGGGCGAGTAAACATCCAGAACTAGGTCCAAAGGCTGATGGGGAATCTGAAGTAAAGGTGACGTCTGATGTGATGATGGGTGAGCCTCATATGGAGTCTCCATCTAATTCTAACATTGATACTACTAATCCAATCTCTACACTTGTTGCTCAGTCCTCACAGGTTAAGACTGAGAAAGATAATCTGGAAGAGCATAATGGTGAGGTAGTAGTAGAAGCAGAGGAAGATACAGTTATTTACTGATTGCTCTACATGAATGGGTTCAAGGAGTTTGGCTTGCCGGAAAACGCTCAAATGGTATTTAGGTGATGGTATGGTGTCTTTAGGAGGTCAATGATATCCCGAGCCAGCTTGTATTTTAGACCTGGCTATATTACAATGTTTCTTTTCGCTTCACCGTCACTTGCAATCAACTGATTTAAGGGGAGAATATGCAAGTCTCGGCTGCCAAGCCACATACGAAACTCCATACCTAGGCACAAGATGATATTCGGCGACACCGGATGTGGGACCAAACTGAAATCCGACGCCATCATCGAATGATTTGTCTTTCCATGATCAAATCTCGGAGTACACGACACATTGCCGTGATATGTTATGCGTTGCGCAACGACTAATCTATTGTCTGTTACCCAATTTTTATCGACTTGAACCGAGGCACGGCGATTGGTGGGGCAGCCTTGTTGTTTAAAGAGCCGACCTTTCCCACATCAGCCTTGTTTGAGATACTTTTATTTTTGATCTGTATTCATTGTATTTTACTTCAAACATATATCAAAATGGTTGATAAACTTGCAGTTCAAGACTCTCGAGTCCAATATAAATCGGCTGATTTGAATGGAAGAACTTACTCGTATATTCTTGCCGAACCTCAAAATGGTGCCGAACCAGTTGCAACTATCTTCTTGATTCACGGAGTAAGCATTCGATTTCCTTCCGGCTCATTATACTTTTCCAGTATTCAATCGAGGTTCAAATCATCAAAAAGCTTCTCAAAGGTTCAATCATTATGTTACAACAGTGTACTAACTTTCTTCTAGTGGCCTGACATGGCATTCGGCTGGAGATATCAAATCCCCGCTCTCCAAGCCCTCAACTATCGCGTCGTAGTCCCCAACATGCAAGGCTATGCCACCTCTTCATCCCCCCAAGAACTCAGCGCCTTTACCTACAAAACTGCCGCTGACGATGTTGCCGCTCTCGCAAAGGCCATCGGTGCCACATCTATTATCCTCGGAGGTCACGATTGGGGTGGAGCTATCGTCTACCGTATTGCTCTTCATTATCCTAAACTCGTCACTGCAGTCTTCAGCGTCTGCACACCTTTCTTCCCTCCCCAACAAAAATATATTCCCATGACCGTCCGACCAAATTTCAAATACCAATTACAACTCCAGGGTCCAGATGTTGAGAGGGAAATCCAAGGAAAGGAGAAGTTGAGATTGATGTTGAATGCGCTTTATGGTGGCCGATCCCCAGAGAAAGAACTTGGATTTTCTGTCTCCGAGGGTGTTCTCTTCCAGAATTTAGAGAAACTTGGTCCATCTCCACTTTTGTCCAAGGAGGAATTAGATCACTACGCAGAACAATATGCGATTAATGGAATTAGAGGCCCATTGAACTGGTATCGCACTGGCGAATTGAATTTTGAAGATGAGAAGGAGTTGGCGGAGGAATTCTACAAGGAGAATGGATATAAGGTTGAGATTCCTACCATGTTTATTGGAGGATCCAGAGATGCAGCATTACCACCTGCCATGGCGGAGAATATGCAACAATGGTTTGGAGAGGGTAAGTTGAGAAAAGAGGAAGTCGATGCGAGTCATTGGGCGCTGTGGGAGAAGCCAGAGGAGGTTAATGCCTATGTTAAGGATTTCTTGACAAAGGTCGTAGGGGGACAAAGCCATCTTTAAATGGAGATGTGAGTGGAAGATAGAAAGTCAAATAGAAATGGAAATTGCCAGTTGAAATAATCAGTAGTAAAGATACCGTCTTGGTTTCAATTGTACTCTGCGCCGGCTCTTGTGATACCTACCTTCCACCCTACCTACCTATAATAATAAGTAGATATTATTTATGTACATGGTCCAAGCTTCAAAGCACTCTTCGTCTCGCTGTGTGAAATGAAGGGGTTCCAATAATCATCCGAAAAATTAAAATTAAAGTGTCTACCTAGATAGGAATCTCACCCGATTTTCTCCTCTATCAAAATGCTATACTTTTCGTATAGATCAGGTGATATAGCATACCTACCCAGGTACCTAGATACTTTCGATTCCTCAAAATACCGCAATTCCAGCGTTTATCGCGGAACATCATATAATACATATATAAATACAAATACAAATACCACATAATCCGAGACGATAGGATATAAATGGGATGGGTAAGGTTATCATTCTGTGCTCGCTCGCTCGCTCGCTCACCGTTCTATCGGATTTGAAACCTTTTCTGGCGACTAATAGGTGCTAAGGTACTAAGTTATAAAGGACTAATCATACATTTGTTAAGAGAGTGTAGGGAAACAAGACTAGATGGATCATTTGATACACGAGGCAGATTGGAGATGGGATATCCATGTTGGGTGTGTGGGAGTGAGTGAGTGAGTGAGTGAGTGAGTGAGTGAGTTACACTAGGTGGGTAGAGAGTGAGGGAGGGAGGGAGGGATGCAGGCGAGGTGGGAGGTAGGGTAGGTTACTTTTGAGTACTGTACGGTGTACGGTGTAATGTGTCATATGTGTGATACCTAGGTATGTATCATTATGTGATTTGTGGGTGTGTACACCTTGAGGCCTGGATTGTGAGTAGATGACATGTTTTTACCATGAGTACCTAGGTAGGCATCTCGGCAGGTAGATTTTGCGGATAGAGGGGCAGTGAGTGAATGAATGAATGGATGGATGAATGAATGAGTTAAGTGGATGAGGGAGGGAATAGAAATATATGAGTGGGTATCTAGGTAAAGAGAAAGAGTCGAGACTTAACGGGCTACGAAAGAAGAAGTGTTTAGGTAAAGAATGTAAGAAACATGAATCATTGGATCATGTGGTACATACGTACAAGAAAGATGCATTAACGTCACTTTTTTCTTCTTAGATAGAGCCTCTCTCGCCCTCTTGCCCTCTTGCCCTCTCGCCCTCTCGCCCTCTCGCCCTCTCTCTGGTGATCCATTGGTGGGGCGTAATGAAGCTTTGAAGCTTCGGATCCAGCCACAAATTATATCTTATATGTCTATCCATCGTATCTCAAGCCACCTAGTCCGAGGTTATACTGTGACTCTGTCTGTAGACAAAGTTTCCCCTGAATGATATTGATCTGATATGATATGCTACGGTTCAAACCTTCTTCTTCATATCCGGCATTCATATCCGATTCAAATATCTAGTCACCCTTTACGGTGGAAATACAATCAACTCCATCCAGCCATCCAGCCATCCAGCCATCAGCCATCAGTCATCAGTCATCAGTCATTCAGCCACTATCCATCCAAATCACGTTCATGTTCACGTTCACATACCGATCCCAAATACTGTACATGCCATTACATCCATACCACCCATCCATACTGCACACTTCAAACACCGAATCATCTCTGATAATCACCACACAACCACCCAAGGCTTCTTTCTTTATCTAATTCAATAGATATTGGATCGCTTAATTAATGCTCCCACCAGACCGAGTTAGCCTCTCCTCTTCCCTCTCCCTCCTCTTATTTTTATTATTATTGAGTGGTGTACCCGTGGACCGACCGACCTACTAGAAGTAGAAAGTTTAGAAGGCTGTCAAGTTTAATTATTATTATTATTATTATTATTATTATTATTATTATTATTATTATTATTATTATATTATTATTATCATCTTTCATCCATCTAAACCCAAAACTCAAAACGCAAAACTCAAAACCCCTTCTACTCAAAACGCTTCTTCCACTTCCACCACAGGCTACTACTGTACAATCAAATCAATCAATCAATCAATCAATCAATCAATCTACCAACGTACCAACCCACTCACTACCTACCTACCTACCTACCCGACCGACAATTCTTACTTCAATCAAAACCACCACCACCACAACTTTCTCAAATATAAATTCAAACAAAAATAACAATTAAAAACTTGTCAATTTACTTGCACTTGATTTTATTCTGTTTTTGATTTTGGTTCTTTGATTCATCATTTCATTCACTCTACTACTTTCATGAATTTCTCCTATTTCCAACCAATCCGCAAAGTACATGAGGCGAAATGACAGACGCATGTATTGTATGTTTAGAGGACCTGGAGGTGGTAGTGGTCCAACAACACGACGAAGAAAAAGTTGGGGTTCCGGATCCCGTCCCAGCACCCAGCTCAGTGGTGCAAGACCCCCAAACCCATTCCCCAGAGGCTCTGGAGCTCGAGAGGGGCAACGCCGGCAAAGATCCTGATGTCGAGCATCTGCAGCGTCGACAATGTATTTCTTCGGGGAAAAGTAATGGTAATGGTAACGGTAACGGTAACGGTAACAATGCTTTATGCGTGGCGCAGATTAAACCGTGTGATCATGTTTTGCATGATCATTGTTTGAGGGAATGGAGTCAGAAGGCTAATAGTTGTCCGATTTGTCGGGCGAGCTTTAATTTGGTGCTGGTACTGGATGGAGTTGGAGGTAAGCTGAGTACTTTTTTTTTCTATTTCATTTTCGAGGGTGTCATTTGGTGTTTTGTTATATTGCGATGGGGAGATGCGATTTTTAAGATTTTGGCTGGATATATTTTTGGTGGTCTTTGAGGAACTGAAATGCCTTTTGCGATGATGTAATTTCTATTTCTTGGGAGGTTCAAAAGTTATATACTCTTTGCGCCTTGCAGCCAGTATTTGAGGGCTGCCTACGACTTTACGAGTTATGCAATCATTTGGATTAATAACTAACTTAACTTTCCAGGAACGGTACAATCAGAATATACCGTCGAAGATCGAAAACAAACGGCCGAGTTCGACTTGGCTGCGTGGCAACAGGATAACCCAGAAGATTTTGAGGATGAGGAAGAAGGAAGATCGTGCCCAATCTGCGACCAGTCCGATCAAGAAGATGTTCTCCTGTTATGCGATGGATGCGATGCTCCTTATCATACACATTGTATCGGTTTAGACAATGTTCCAGGTGGTCACTGGTATTGTATGGAATGTGTGGAAAGTGGTGCTTTTGGCCAACATGATGAATCGCAAGGACCCGCGAGAGCGATCCCCTTTTCAGGACAACACATCAGCAGAACTCAGGCCAGCGTTCGACGTGCTCGGAGGAATGGCAGACAAGATAGGTGGATTAATGCCTGGGGGCAATTAAGTAGCGCAATCCGAAATGTCGCTGGCGTTGACCTCGATTTTGCCGAGGATGATCAGGAGTTGAGGGGTTATAGGGACCTTCAACAATTTTCCGCTACAGAATTCAACAGATGGGAACAACGATTACATATCGCGAGACGTCAAGGTGCTGGTCAAATATTTCGAGCTGCAGCACCACAAGTTGTTCGAGAGCGCATTCAACCACCGGCGCCTGTTGTTGAAACTCGGGAAGAGAGACAGGCATGGGGAGCTATGGAGAGAGCTCAACATCTTGATGATACATCGAATGCAAGGAAGCGCAGAAGATCAACTGCATCACCAGCTAGTCGTGGTGGCTCAACGCCAGAAGAACCTGAACGCAAGCAGAAACGTCCAAGAACACGGATTGTTCAAAATGGATCATCATCTGTCGCATCATCCAGCACGAATCCTCAACCCCGACCTTCATCTAGTAGGAGTAATGGTTCACCAAGGCAATCACCAAGACTTTCAGATACCATAAATACGAACATAAACACAAACGCTGAACCTACATTTCTTTCTTCACTTCTTCGAGAAGTTGAGATGGCACCATCTTCCGATGATGATTCGATAAGGTTTGGATTGGATGTTACGTCTAATCGAGCAAATGGTGCTACAAGTCCATCATTTGATTATTCATCTCCTGCTACCTCACCAGCCTCTCCCGCACCTTTTCGCAGTCGCGCAATATCAACCACACCCCCACCAAGAGGTCGGCAATCCCGTTCTCCTCCTTTGAGCTCAACTGTTATGCCTGATTTTTCTGCGGTTCACTATTCACCAAATCGATCACCAACAGTCGATTCACCAAGTCAAATGGCTGGGGGTCAAAACAAAAGAAAGAGGGATGGATCGCCTACACCGGAAATCCGACAACCTCAACCTCGTAGACAAAAAATATCACGAGCAAGATCTCAAGATTCTTCACCCGTACGAACAAATGTCGTGAATTCATCAACATCTCGATCCGAAAATACATCACCATTACGAAATGCAATGTCAATTGAAGAGAAACAAAGCATCAACAAAATAGTTAAAACAGCTCTCGGACCTCATTGGAAATCTCAAAAGATTTCAGAAGAACAATATGCTGATATCAATCGAAATGTTTCGAGGAAACTTTATGAACTTATTGCGGACAAAAATCACGCCGACGGAGATAAAAGTTCATGGGAAAAGATTGCCACAATGGAAGTTGGCAAGGCGGTTCAATCTTTGGGAAATCAAATCTCATGAAAGGGATCTGGAATGGAATTTTAATTGTAACGAAACGCATATTACGAACCAACGGACGGCGAAAAGATTTTCGGGATATTTTCTGGAGGTTTCTTGAGGGCATATTAAACATGGAGTCACAACTTACTATTAGCGAATGGAATTACCTTTTTGTTTTCTTCTTCCCTCTTGTATTACAAGGAAAATTGTAATTTGGTGTTATATGGAATGGTGTGGAATGGAGTGGTTCATTACAGGGCATTGGTATGCATAATGTGAATTGCTATTTATGATACCATTAATATATTTTCTTGCGCTGGAGCAATGGGAGAATGGAGGCATAGGAGAGTGTACAGGTGGGGTCTCTGGTTTTCGGATTCGGGAGATTGGAGATTGGAGTGTTTGTAATATTTGGGATGGAAGAGGGTTTTTGAGTAGTGTGCTTTATGCGAGATTTGTTGATTATTTGGGGAGGTGGAATTGAGAGGTGAGAGTCAAAGGGAAAGAGATGATTGATGGTGATGGTGATGGTGATGGCGGTGGTGGTGGAAAGAGTTATTGAGAATTGAAATGAGATAGTTTTGAGAAAGTTAGTCGGGTATGGAGATATCCATTGTCAAGTGTGAAATGCGAAATGTATGTAGAATGTAGAATGTAGGATGGGAAAGATGGAAAGATGGAAAGATGATATGGTAGATCGTATGGTAGAAGAGGTGCTGAATATCTTCATCCTAGTAGGTTAATAATTATCATGTGATGTCATTTGAATGGGGGATATATACCTAGTAGATATAACGTAGTTTATCAGTGCGTGCACCATATCAGTACATGCACCACTTCAAAATTATACTAAAATCAGGGTTTTTTTAATATTTGTGTTTTAATAATTAATCATTATTTTTTGAAAAAAAAATGTATAATAAAAATTATAATTTAAATATTCAAAAAATATAATTTTTATATAAATATTTTCATTATATTCTAAAAAAGATTGAAATTGTCACGATTTTCGTTACAAAAAAACTTTCTTTAAAATAACTATTATATTAAATCATATTTCTAATAATTAATTAGAAATTCTTATTATTTATATAAATAACTATAAAGTTTTTTAGGAAAAATCAAATTATATTAATAAATAAAGAAAGTGCACGGTTACGCACAGACGAATTTTGTATGTAAAATGAGTGGTGCATGTACTGATATGGTGCACGCACTGATAAACTACGTTATATGGAATGAGTATCCAGTATGCACCCATCAATACCTGGGTCATTATGTTGTTGAGGGGAAGGGAAAAATTCTTATACGTTTTGATATACCTTCAATAGTGTACGAGGAAAAATTCTGATGATACTACCAGCGAAATTTTTGAACTTGGGGAGTGGAAAATTGCATGTAGACAGTAGGTAGGTGGTAGGTATGCATTGAAGATTGTTTTTCTTGTTTTCCATTACTATTTTCATTATAGCTAAGAATAGATTATTTTTTCCACAAGCTCTTTTGCTTCTTTATATATATGAATACTATTGACTGATCTTTCTTCTCTTCTCTCTTCTATCAAAAAAAGGAGAGACACCTCAAGTCCTCGTACTTTATTTCATTCCTCCTCATCACACACTCAACCCGACAAAAGTTTTCAAAAATGGAAGAAAGAAATGTAAACAGTCGCTATCTAACAGTTCCCGTAGGTAAAGACGAGGGTACCGCTAGCGAAAAAAGCCTGAGATGTTTAATCTAGGCATCGATAAATGGTCAGGACGTTCTGGGTTGAAACGGGTCTTGATGATAAGGATTGATGCCGTGGATTGGGGGAGGAAGAAGGTTCAAGGAGGAGAAGAGTTTTTATGTGCTGTGGTGGGCACGTGAGGAGCTAGGATGTATGGGGTTAGTGGATGTGGGATGGGAAAATGGATGTGAGAGATTATTGGTGGAAGGATAATATTACTGGTAGAGAGCGATTACTAAGCAGCGTGGAATTTATTTTTTGGATGGTGGGTTGCTGTGTGCTTGGGGTGGTGAGTGCGCAGAGAAGTCTTGTTGTAGTACGTTCCGCACATACATACCAATACTTAGAGACAAATATGACGTCGAGTAGTAGGGGATGCAGTAGAACTGCTCAGAGATTGTTATGTATGTATCTTCTTTCTTTCGGTGTGCTTCAATTGGAAATGGGGAGTGTGGTCGATGATATGCATATCTATCATGCGCTTGCTTGGGAGAGGAGAGAGCTTGCGGGATGTGTCAAATTTCGGTGGGAGGGATCACTGACTGCTCAATGGCTTGACGACTGCTGTATAAGTGTGCATGCTTGGAAAGAGAATTGCAGGATTACTCAAGATGTGTATTCACATTGATATTCACATGCACGACTAACAAGCCTCCGCCACAGATTCCTCAAGACCAACCATTGTTCCTCGAACGCCTCTCCGTACCCGTACACCATGCATACAAACAGCCAGGCCGCGAGGCTATGCCGTCGCTGCATCGACTTTTAAACCTCTCGATGGTCCGCCCTCCCACCTCCCACATGTTTCCGCCATGCCCCCCGTCTCCCCTTCCCCAGGAGCAACGACGTATAAAATCTCGACTGGAATTATCCTCAGTCGGCCGCCTCTCCTCACCAAAACCGCGACGCCCTTTGAAAAAGCATTTTATCTCTACCAGAAACGTTTGAATGAGAGATTGGTATTGCCGTTCACGAGATACTTTTATCACAAGAAAGATCAACCGGCGGATCTGGAATGGAAGGCGAAGGTCAAAGAGAGGAATGGGGTTGCGGCGAGGGATATCGGTGGGTATAGAGCTTATGGGGAAGAGGGATGGAATGATGAAGTGTTGATTGGGGGACAAGAGGAAAAAGTAGCGGAGTGGGAAAATATCGCGGGGAAATTGGTGGAAGAGGGAATGGGTGAGGATTTGGAAAAGGTAAAGTTGGAGAGTAGAGAGGGAGAGGCGGATAAGAGGAGTTTGGCGAGGAAGATGGATGAGACGGTTTATTTGGTTGTGAAGGGGAAGGAGAAGTCTGTGGATAGGGAGGGAAAGGAAGTACAGGTGGATGTTTGGGAGTTTCCTAGGGGGGATATGGTGGGGAATGAGGTTTTGCATACGGTTCGTTAGGGTTTTGCTTTCTTTTGCTGTTTTATGTGTCTTCTTTTCTCTTTCCGCATCCATCAATATTGTTTCGATACACGAACTAACACCTCCCAAGGCAGCCCAAAGAATCCTCGCTCAAACAGCCGGTGAAAACATGAATACATGGATAGTAGGACATGTCCCCATCGGTAGTCTCACCATCAAACCGTCGAAGAAATTTGGAAGAGAAGCAGAAAAGGTGTTCTACATGAAAGGAAGAATTATGGCTGGCCAAGCGAATCTTAAGGGAAATGCATTTGGAAAGGAAGATTTTATGTGGTTGACGAGGAAGGAGATTGAGGAATTGGTTTCGAAGAGATTTTGGAGTCAGGTGGCAGGAATGCTGGGAGGTAGGTAGATTGGGGGGATGAAGGGGAGAAGAGAGGAAAAGAGAGGTGTGGATGAAGAATTTTTGGGTTTGTCTATCGTCTGTCGTCTGTTTCGATGGAATGATATCTGTATCGGTAGGGATATTGACATGGGAATTGGAATTGGAATGGGATTAGGATGTAGGATGAGAGATGAAGCATGTAGGATGTAGGATGAGATCTTATGCGAAAGATTGTATTCATACCTATGGAGGAAAGAGAAGAGGGCGAAGAAGATGAAGATGAAGATGAAGATAAATATCATATCATATTGTAGAATAGCTGAAGAGGAGACAAGAAAAGAAAAGGAAAGAAAAGAAAACTGTATTATTCTAGAGTGGTTTTGATTTATTTGATACATGATTTTTTGATGAACTATGTGAATGAATGGATGGAATTCTAATCTTATCTTTATATCTAAGGTTACCTAGGTAGGTAGTTCGGAAATGGAAATTGGAAATTGGAAATTGTATATGTATATTAAAATTATATTCGTAGTTGTATCGTTCTTACTTTTATTTTGTGAATATGGATAAGTTATGGATATGAATATGAATATTAATATGAAGATGAAGTTCTCACATTGTGGTTGTGGTTGGGATGGGATAGGATGGGATGGGATGGGATGGGATGGGGTAAACCTAGAGACCCCGGGCCGATATCGCTTTTGAGGTTAACCTTATTTGAGTGGATGGGTAGGTAGAGGGGTAGGGGATAGAGGGTAGACGCTTATTGTATGGATATATGTATAGATAGAGAGGTAGCTAGATAGGTATAGGTATAGGTATAGAAATATATAGAAAGTGAGTAGGAGGTTGATGAGATGAAATGGTATGAAATAGGATGGGATGGGATGAGATGGGATGGGATGAGACGAGGGGTTATATTACATGTTTCTGGATCTGGATCTGGATCTATTTGTTTGTTTGTTTGTTTTGTTTGGGGGGTTTATACTCGAGTATTGAGAGGTTGTATTGAGAGATTATTTTGAGAGATTATATTGAGAGATTATATTGAGAGATTATATTGAGAGATTATATTGAGAGATTATATTGAGAGATTATATTGAGATTATATATATATTTATCTAAGGTTACCTACCTCCATCGAAAATCTGTAAACTACTAGGTATACATTCGCCCATATGTTTATCTAAGGTCTTACCTGGTAGATTATATGCTATATCTACAGAAGCATAAACATCATTATCAATATTGATCACTCTTGATATTCCAGCCGGCATCGGCTGAGATGTATCATATCATATCATATCAAGAACCAGATACCTATAGCGTAGCTACCTATACGGAGTCATATATATATTACATATGTATCATCTAAACGTGTATAAAACCATGATTTACAATTGAACCCTACCTATAGGAAGGTGAGAAGATAAGCAGTGCATCTCACATCATTATAGTCCATACGGAAGTTGAATGAATCTAGATACCACCTCCAAACATATATCCCAACATCTCAAAGGCCGAACCGAGCTAAATCGGATTTGACACAAATTATCATATTACTACCTATTACTATTACTATTATTCCCAAATTGCTACCAAAATGACATCTCCCACCACGAAAAATATACTTGTTCTCGGGGGCGGCATCTCGGGATTACAAACGGCGGTTTCGTTGCTTGATTTTTCCTGTAATAATGAAGCCCCAGAGTATAAAATTAACCTCACACTCCTGGCGAAATATCTACCTGGTGATAAGAGTGAAACGTATTGTTCACCATGGGCGGGAGCAGATTGGAGGAGTCATGCTTCGAAACCTGGTGCTTCTATTGGGTGTACAGAGGGGCAGGATGGAAAGGAAAAGGGAGATGAAGGGAAAGAGAAAGAGAAAGAGAAAGAGAAAGAGAAAGAGAAAGACGAAAGACTCAGAAAATGGGAGGAGAGAACGTATCGTAAGTGGAAGAGTATGATTGTAGAGAATGGGGATGTGAAGGCAGCGATAGGAAAGGAGATGGGAGTGGCAATTACACCCTCGATATACTATCTCGGATCTACATACCACGGAGCGGAAATCGACGAGAATGGTGTGTGGTTTGAGGATGTGGTGGGGGGGTATAGAGAATTGGATGTTGGGCTGCAGGAAAATAAGCTAAAGGGATCTTTGGGGAAAGGAGTCAGAAAAGGTGTACAGTTCGAAACGGTGTGTGTGGATGTGGATATTTATCTGGGGTATTTAGTTCACAGAATAGAACAGCTGGGAGGGAAGATTATCCGTGGGGAAATTGAGACGAAGGAGGGATTAGAGGGTGTGGTGCGTGGATGTAGAGATATGCTTGCGGGCGAGAAAATCGATATACTGATTAATTGCACGGGACTCTCTGCCGCGCACTTTGTGGGGAAAGAGGAGGCGGAGAAGATGTTTCCGGTGAGAGGACAGGTTTTGTTGGTGAAAGGGGAAACGAGGGTTTGTAAGACTTTTGTGGGGATTTGGGGGACAAGGGCGATGAGTTGCTGTATGTGATTCCGAGGCCCGGGAGTGGGAGGAGTGTGGTTGGGGGGGTTAAGGAGGTGGGTTGATTTCTTTTGGGAGTTTTGGGAGGGGAGGCGCGCGTGGAGGACTTGAAACTTATTTTTTGGTATATGTACAGAAATGGACGGGGAATGGAAGGGGAGTGGATTTCCTCGCTTCGGTGATGAGGGTATAAAGGGGAGAGAACAGTACAGTACAAGGGAATCACAAGCTAACCACATACATACAACCCCATAGGCAAACACATGGAACGCCAAACCCGACCATGAATTATCAGCTAGGATAATCCAGAGATTGAAAGACATAGGATGGGCCGAAGATTTGCAGAATGAGAAAGGGGAGATAGAAGTGCAGGATACGTATGTGGGGTTTAGACCTGGGAGGAAGGGGGGTGCGAGGGTTGAGATTGAGGGGAATGGGGAAGGGGATGGTGGGAGAGATGGAAAAGGAGATGGAAGAGCAAAGAAAATAGAAGGTGTCTATGTCATTCATAATTATGGACATGGGAGTGGAGGATATCAATCTAGTATTGGGTGTGCGGAAGAAGTTGTTGAGTTGGTTCAGGGATTGGAATGAAATGATTTCCTACTTTGTTAGGAGAGGAGCGTAGAGTTGAAACCTTTTTCTGCGAGGTTATTTATGTGGGTGTGAGAGGCATAAGGATAGGGAGATGAACCTTGCGATTAAGATACATACAGAGATCCGTTCAGCGGTTCCATCTGTAGGTACCCACCTATGAATCAATCTTGAGGAGGTAACGAGGTAAGGATCTATAGTATTATATCGATAATGCAAGACTCTTCTCTGAATTCTGTATCTTAGATTGATATTATATACATTTACATCGGCGACTCTATTCCACGGTGTACAACTTCAGAAATCGAAACATAAGGTAGATGTAAGTGCGGAGTAAGCTAGAAGTTAAGAATTACTCTGTTTTAGATTGTAAAATATGAGTTAGAGGATATATCATGGATAGCATGTTAAATCCGACGATTGATTTGAAGAAAATTAAAGCTGGATAAAACTCTTCGAAGATCTCACGGAACCAAACTGATATAAGTACCTAGGTGTACATATAAATATAAACAATTCCTACCCGACCCCAAGAATCTACATTTACTGATGTCGTTCATCTAATTACGACCAAATTACCACCCAGTTTACAACAAAAACAAAATCCAATTCTCCAAAGCAAAATCTATAAACCGAGAGATACTATCAAAGAGAAGCCAAACGCAACCCATATAACACCCGCTATCAAGAACTCCACAATTCCTAGCACAAAACTCCACCATGTGGAGATATTCCCAAGGTGATTTCCCAACCCTTATAGATATGATACTATACTTGAGTTCCAATTTCCAATTACTCCTCTCAGTTTCCATTTCCAGATTCCGACTCACGCTCCCCCCTCACTCCAATCCCGCTAAATGCTACCATTCACTGTCACTTTCACTGTCGTTACTTCTCGATCCACCCCTACTCGATCTCAACCCGTACCTTATCCTTTCCAACTCTAGCTTGTGTGCTCTTATTCTCTTTTTTTCGCTTTTACTTGGCTCATTCATAAAACTCAGATCAGGGGCATGGATATGTGTCTCATGCGTCTCATGTGTCACATACATCTGACTGTAGTCCGCTCTTTCAATATAAGTGCCACGATGGGGCGGCGGGGGAGGATTGCGCGATGTACGTGCCGGAGCAACATAGGGTTGACGACTGCGGGGTGCCCGTGACGGAGCATCAGAGGAAGCATAGCCATCATGATCGTACGGTCTATGTGACCGAGCCTTGCGGGGAGCATGGTCATCACGACATTGTTGAAGAGCAAGAGCGTTCGATTGTGAGCGAGTGTCATTGGGAGGAAAGTCAGCAGCAAATGACCCAGGAGGAGGAGGAATGTACGATTTCCTGGAAGTGTCAGAACGACTATACCTGTCATCTGACCGAAGACGTTCACGATCGCGTCCAGAGTTGCTTCTTTCGTAGAGACTCGATGGTGCATTCGAACCTTCTCTATTGACTGATCTTAACTCGGTTGGGGGTTCATCATCCGACGAGTCTCCTCCAGTCCCGGATTCTACTCCCTTACTCCACCTTGCAACTCTATCGTGATTGGGATCTCCGAGGTTCAGGCTCTCTGTCTGCTCCGATAGCCCTGCCAATTCGCTTTTGGACTTGCCTCTCTGACTTCTCCGGTCATTATGATGACTGGACGTATATCCATTATCTATTTTTATGTCAATACTGAATTTATCACCAATGCATTGAGAAGATGGATAAAACGCACGTTGCCCAGAAGTATACGATTGTATATCAGATGCTTGCGGGTCAGTATCCCTTCCGCGGGCCCTAGGGATTGGAGCTGTTTTTATCATTGTCAGCAAGCCACAATAGAATTTTGCTTCGAGGAAAACGCACGGCGAGCAGTTTTTTCAGATGATACCGACGGCGCACGTTGACTTCCATAATGACTTCCAGTCTTGCGCTGTAAGGCTAATTTTATTATCGTCAGCATCCACAATAAATTTTTGCTTCGAGAAGCACGCACGGCGATGTCTTTCAGGTGAGTACGATCTACCACCCCCTCCGCTGATGCTTTCACTCCTATGCGACGCGGCTATTTTTGTTATTGTCAGCATCCACAACAATTCTTTGTTTCGAGGAAAACGCACGGCGAGCAGCTCCATCAAATGCTACCGACGGCGCACGTATACTTCCATTACGGCTTTGGCTTCTACCATTACCATCATTACCATATCTAGTATTATTATAAGAGATTGGTGGTCCTGTATTTCTAGTCCTCACACGCACAGAAGTAGTACTCATTCTGCCATCGCCCACATCTTTAACTGTTCTACTATAATCAGCGATACTTCCATTACCCCTGTCATTATGATGGGGTAGAGGGGCATATTCGTTATCATCCCTTCCACGATGAGAAACGCTCCTGTCCCGTCCAGCATTACTTCCTTGATAACTCATAATATGAAAGCTTCAATATGTAAAAGTGAAATGACAGGACGAAGTATTCGAATTTTCTTGATAATCAAAAGTAAAAGTAAATATTTCTCACCAGGAGGATACAGAGAACAGACTACTGGGAGCATTCATATTTAACAAAGCAGAGCTCAATACAATTAACAAAGGCAGAAGACATGTAAACCATCATTATGTATGGTGACCGTGGACTTAACCTTGGTGCCCCTATAAACATGTCATTAGACTTCTGCGATGGTTAATGTTGAGGCTCTAGCCACATCAAACACAGCCATGGTGGTTTGTGGAACGACGGAATTAATTCAGCAGTGAGGCACCTTTTGTCTTGGTATGTATTCGGACGGCCGAGTGATGACCAATGCCATAAACAAATACGGCCAATGTTTGATCGACAGGTCGACCTACCACAGTGTCAACTTAGCAAGTGTGCTTTAGCGCTGGCTGAAGCAAATTATCTGAAGAGCATTATGATCAAAACAAATAGTACAACCACCGGAAGGTCCGAAAATAAGATTAAATGGAATTGTAAACTCGATCATAAAATGGGCTTGATCGAAATCGATGGAAATCGTATTGAACAATAGATGTCTTCACTTTGACATGTAACCAACGCGTCCTAGAAGTTCCTCCTTCGGCGCTTAATGAACATTGTTGATTGACATCTTGAGTAATCCTTCTGGAACCCAATTTCACGTATTCACACCAAATCCGCAATCGTTGTATATGGACCATAAGTTGAGGCAGGGTATGATTTCATTTTTCTCTATCCGGTCTCATCGAATATCGGCATCGATCATGCAGCGCGATGCTTTTCCCTTGTATATCATAAGTGAGACCTATCCCGTGCCGCAGAAAAAATAACCCGTAGAAACAAACATCCATCCCAAGCCATTTAGACCTCAGCGATTTCTCTCAATCTGCGGAGAGTCGATCTCATAGCAGCGGCGGCAGGGGTTCTATTGTCGAATATGTTAGTAAGTTGGAATCATTTATTTCGAATCGTGGGCTCATACGTGACGGTGTAAGCTCCTCCAGCAACGGTCTTCTTGCATGATTTGCAATCCCAGATACCAACGGAGTGTCTCTTGACGGTAGTCTTTCCACAGAAGGTGCAGACGTATCTTGCGTGTTGAGTGATTTCCATCTTCTTGACTTGCTTTCTGAGGGATGCACCGTATCTATTTGGGGAAAAGAGCAATTAGCCAGTTGTTTGCTGATTCGGTTGATTTCTATTTTGATTCCATCTGCTGCAAGTATTGATTTGTTGATCCTCCATTATTGAAAATTTCTCGATCCCATTACAACTCATCAACGTGTTGAAAAGCCGCAGATTCTTCCTTCTAGTGATACTTGGGTGTGTAGAGTTTGTAGAGCTAGAATAATCGCATACCTGGTACCGTATTTACCGGTGACTCCGACCTTCTTGGTTCTCTTTGTCATCTTGGCGGTATTTTGCGTTGATGAACGGTGATGAGGAAATTGAAGATTTGTCGCAATGCACTTGATGGGAATTATTTTGGTCAAATTCGTCGTGGGATTCGGTTAATAGCCCCATTACGCTAGTCCCCAATGGAAAGTCTAAGAATGATGTCAGTCACATGATCTATACTCACATTTCCACATTCTGTAAGATCTTGTTATTGTACCTATACAAAGTCTTTTATATAAATCACAATTGAGCATAGGTATACAAAGATTGAGATTCATTATGTTTTCTCATCTATAATATCTTCCGTTCTACTCCTCTTAAAGCATTTCCTACTACCTACAAATTGATATGCTCTCTCTTTCTTCCAATTGAAAAATTAGAACAACAAAGCCTGGTTAAACCTCGGCAAGAATGATATCCGTCTACGTATCTACTACGTAGGGAGAATTATTGATTTGGAAACAGGATGTTGATGTGATCGGAAAACGTCGTACTTGTATATACTAGAAGTAATCATTTCATTTACCGTCTCATTCAAATACATATAATCAAGCCTCATTTCACTATTCTCTTGTGTTCTACATTTATATAAACAACAATGTCTTCAGGAGATAGAGAGTACGAATTGGTCATCTTTGGAGCCACAGGATACACAGGAAAACTTACAGCGGAACATGTTGCCACACATTTACCTACAGATCTCCGTTGGGCTTTAGCAGGACGCTCTGCCAGCAAATTGGAGGCTGTTGCCGCCGAATGCAAGTCTCTAAATCCGGATAGAGTCCAGCCAGGTGTGTCAGATTCTTAATTATGATTCCGACAGTTTGTGTACCTACCAACCCCTTTGATATCACGTGCGATACATGATAGGTATTCCACAGGTATTATTTTTTTTGTTATTAACTAACTCCTCACTCATCATAGCTATTGAAATCTGTAACTTAGATGACGCAGAGCTGAGTGCATTGGCTAAGAAGACAAAGGTCATCTTAGCAACAGTTGGCCCTTATGCTCTTCACGGCGAACATTGCTTCAAAGCATGTGCCGAAAATGGTACACATTATTTCGATGTCACAGCAGAAGTGCCATGGGTGGCTAAGATGATCAAAAAATATGAAGGCGCCGCTAAAGCTAGTGGTGCTGTTCTCATTCCTCAATGTGGTATTGAATCTGGTCTACCTGATTTGATTACTCGATGTGCTGTTGATGCTGTCCGGGAAAAGCTATCTGCACCAACTGGTGAAGTCATCGTATCTTTACACGAGATGAAGTAAGCTATAGCACTCGATCAGGACTGTCTGGACACCCAATGGACTAACATCTTTCAGAGCCAAACCTTCCGGTGGAACCTTAGAAACAGTTTTCACACTCTTGGAAGTATTCAACCTTAAGCAACTCAAAGATGCATTTACTCCATACGCCCTATCTCCAATACCTGGACCGAAAGTTCGCCCATCTACATCTCTCATCACCAAACTTACCGGAATTAAAGTCGTACCGGATTTAGGAATTCTTACCACTTCTCTTGCAGGGTCAACCGATCTAGCCATCATTCATCGAAGTTGGGGGTTATCTAGCGAGCAGCAATTCTATGGTCCTAATTTCAAGGTCGAGGAATACATGAAAGCAAGGAACTATCTCACTGGCATAGCAATCCATTTTGGTCTCCTTCTTGGTGGTCTTTTCTTGGCAATCCCATTTTTCAGGCATACGGCCAGGAAATATGTTTATCAACCAGGCGATGGAGCCACGAAAGAGGAAACCAAGTCTGATCGAGTCGAGTTTCGAGCTATTGCTAAACCGGACAATGATCAAGCAAATCCTCCAAGAATCTTTTGTCGGGAATATTATGAAGGATCAATCTATGGATGTAAGTGAAATAACATAGCCCGGGATGCTTTCGGGTAACTAATATGATGCAGTGACTGGTATATTGATTGCCCAGGGCGCAATTACATTACTTCGAGATGACCACAAATTGACAGGTGGTATCTATACTCCATCTATGTTGGGCGAGAAATACATCAATCGCCTTCAATCCGCCAATGTCAAATTTGAGACGAAGGTATTTGAGAATTGATTTGACTGCAAAGTTTCGAAACTGGTGAATGTATTGGAAATGTAGGTTGGTGTAACAATGTGGCGAATCAGCAAAGCTGTGGAAGCAAAATGTAAAATAGAATATTATCATGTGCTTTCATAACGAGAATTATTGATTCCGAAAGATACATCTATGTATTGACATTGTGGATCGTTATGAATTTCAGTTCAGTGTGTCTTTAGCTCATACCAGTGTATGCTTCCGAGGAATTTGTTGAGGTTGAGTATAATCTCTTTCATTTCCTCATGGTGATAATTGTCAATTTCATCTATAGTTTCGATGGTACCAATGACTATCTAACAATCATTACCGAGGTGTCGATAACCAGCGAGAAACGTCTGCAACATCGCCAGCAAATGAGCGGGCAAACTAATCTGTCAAACGCTTTTTAGGCATACATTGTTAAAATAGCAGAATGATTGGATTACTTTCATTAAAAACCGAAGAGCCGCGGCCCATCCAAGTTTGCATATCAAAATTTACCCTATCACGAGTGCTGGAATCAAGCCATACCAGAAACACACGCAATTAGGGGGAGCAGCTCTCGTTGTATTACTACGAACGCCCGCAAGGCGGATTGATGAGGCTCTACATGCAAGATATTCGATAGTTCGGATTATTAGTCGGCTTGCACGTGAACATAGCTGTTCGAACCTTTTGTACTTCTTTAGTTCAACGTGATATTAAGATGGAGATTGTATGTTAGGTGATCTTAAGGCGGTTTCAAAATACTAGCTCGACTGTTGGAAATTATTTCCGGGAGGCAAATCTTTGACGGACCGCTTAATTCGCATCTCAATACCTTCACTCGTATTGTGCTAGAGTATTTTGCGCCATCAATTCTCCTCGCCCACATAATGAAATTCAATAAAGTAATAACGAAAGGCTAGGCTGTTGTCCGATAGTTACAAGGTTTCAACCCAGAACCAGAAAAGTAACGCATCAAACAAGTCAACTTTGAGATGAAAAGAAAGGGCTATATAACAGTATAAAAAGAAATGAAACGTGGAACGTGAAGATATATCTTTCTGTTCCTGGATAGTGTATCCCATTGGATTGGAGTTTCCTCCTATATAAAACAAATGAAATGTGATACAAACTTTCCCCTTTCCTCTGAGAAATAAAAATGGACCAAAATTTCCTTCAAAGAACTGGACATGATAAATAAGAGCAACCCCGCCAATTCCACTCTTCGCCCTAGCATAATGGCATGAACCCGCCACCATGTTACACCGATAATTGTCCACAGAACCGCAAGCCTTCAGTATAACGAAGCATAAAATCACCACCTCTTTTCCCCTCTGATACCGACAGATCTTCTATCCTCCCAGCCGCATCGTGTATTCTGCTAACCGATAGCCCCACCAACAATATCCAGGGAAATATGACGAAAAGATAGATTTCCACCGGAGCCGCTACCTCGATCCAGAAAAAAACTGATAAACCGAAGGCAAGAATGACCATTGGAACGTGCAGTTTCTCAATTTTTCCAATTTCGCAAATCCATGCTATCAAGCCAATTGATATGCAGACGAAAATGGCAGTTGCAAGCTCTGATGCTGGGCCGAGGCTAGAGGATAAAATTTCGAGTATTGTGTTGTTTTTGAGGAGGAGAGAAAGGCTCGATATATCGAAGCACTACCAGAAATTTCAGCTTTGGGTTTCGCAGTCTACGAGAGTACTGTGAGCTTACCTCTTGATATTGACTCAAGATACAGCGAGTACTAACAATCAGCGACCCCGTCGCGAACAAAAGATCGAGAAACTTCATGAATGCAAAAGATATCTTTGCGCAAAACAATCAGACAGTTTCAACGATCTTTTACCCGCAATCGAAGGAAAAGTTTCTCGAAAACTATATGACTCCCTTATTTAAAAATCACACCAGACATGAAGAGCGAAACGGTCAGATATATATTCATACGTTACACCTCTCAGGCGGTGTAAACACAGAGATCATTGGCTCGCGAGTCTACTTGTAGCTTCACGAGGATTCTGCCTTGTGCTCTTGTAGCACCTCGCTACGATCTCGACAGTGCTAGCCTTAGAGTCATTGCAATTATTATTATTTCAAGCTCGAGAGCTTAAATGTGTTACCAGGACTCGGGCGCATTTAAGTCAATTTGCTCCCTCTCATACATATGTTTTGTTGCCGTTTCTTTCGATACTGAAATTGAATTACATGCAGTTTTATCTCTGTACCGGCTGTATCTTCTTATTTTATGTTTCGCACCTGTAGGCGAAGGAGTTGTGGGATATTTTATGCGAGTCTGAATTTTGGCGTCGAAAGGCTGAGTGTTTTGCTGGATTCGGATTCGACTAAAACCTCATCCAACAAAACATCATTTTACTGGAACTGCATTCTAATAGAACCTCATTCTGCTAGTACCTCATTCTGCTGGAACACTGCCCTTTAAACCTCACTACCTCCTCGCATGCACCATTGAGCTTCAACTACCACTCTTCACCCGCCAAACATAAGATAGCCCAGCTATCCAAAGGTCTAAAACACTGGTATCTAAGCACACAACCCTACTCACCCCACCAACCCAACTAACCACTACCAAACAGCCATGACCTCCCTCGCCCTCCACGAAATCCTTCCTCTTCACCATCCTCCGCCCACAGCCCAACCACAATCCCGCTACCTCGCCCACACCCTCCTCACGAAGTCTCTCTTCTTCATCCTCCACCTCCGTACTTCCAAACCCCTCGCAACCCTCTCCCTCATCTACGCCCTCTCCATCACCGGTCCCTCAGCCCCGCAATTCGACATCCTCACCTTGCATGAGACATCTCGCGGGTGTTTTATCTTGGGGTGTGTTCTCCATTTCCTCACTTCTTATTCCTATATATCATATGCGTATTACATATAGCTAACAAACCACATCACAGAATACTATTCCTCTGGACTCTCTGCTTCTTCCAATATCTGCACATAAGACGTTGGGTTTCGCATGATGCAGATAGTAGTCGTAGATATAGGGAATTACGGGATATGTAAGTACCTCCCCTACACACCTAACCCTACAACCACATCTAACACACCCAACCCCAGACAATTCCTAACCTGCATCCTCCTCATCGCCATCCTCGCATTTCCCCTCCTCCGTCTCAGCACGTCCCTATCCAAACCCCAAATCGCAGAATTAACTCCAAAAGCCCTATCCATGATCCCCGTCGCGTTGACACTCCTCATCGTCATTTCGGAGAAATTCATGATTTGTATTGTGAGTGGTGTAGTCTATGGAGTACCGATTTTGAGACGCGCGATGCAGGGTGTGAGAGGGGGAGTGTTGGGGGTGTGGGCGGAGGTCACGAGACGCTTGGGATATGTACCGTAAGGGGGTGTCAGGGGTTGGGGAATTTTATGTTTTGGATGCGTTACGGGGTTTGGGGAATTCGTGTGGGTTATGTAGGGAAGCGGGGAGCGGGGAGGCAAGAAGGAATACAGCAAAGTGAATTTCAATTATCCAGTGCGAAAGGGGGAGTTTAGGAGTTGGGTGGAATCTTGCTTCAATTCATCTGTCAGATTGTACAGGTTCAAAGATTTCATTGTTCTTGTCCTTTCACCAATCTGTTTTTCTATCTACGTTTCTTCTATTTTATTTTTCAATATCACAGGCTTGTGTTCAAATGCCCCGAATCTTTATTAGCGAGGAAGAGTTCAGATGATACATAGATACCTATCTTCAGATTCTGGATTGGATTAAATTGGATAGATCGAACCGAGTCCGCCTATGCGCGGGCTTTGCGAGTGGATAATAATTAGTATTCGGGTCCATAAGCACATTTAAATGAAATGCGAGATTTTTGTTCTATTATATTTTTATCGTATTGTGTGGTTAATGTATTGGGTATATATATGTATGACTTTTTCGAGGAGATTTGTGGAGATTTGCGGACATATATATTTTCGGCTGAATACATTGGGTTATCTACCGAAAAGACATTCCATGCTAATTTCGATTATATTCTTATATTTTGTCCTATTACAATTTACAGGCGAAGATGAGGATTGAGAAGTAGGAGCTCAGATATTTCCTATTACTAAATGAATAGCCCATCATAACACAAGACAGACATGTCTATTTTTTCAATTACTATTATCTCATCCCCGCCCATTACTAAAATCTAACATCCACAGAATGCCAGTCATCACCAAGCCAATCTCCCTATCCAACTCTCCGGCCAATTCCTAACCCCCCACTTCCTCCCCTCATCCAGCATCAAAATGCCCACTCCAAAGGCCGCTGGTAAAAAGAAATGTTCCACCGGAACACTACTCGTTCCCAGCACACTTTGCAACTGCGGGATATAGAGCCAGAAAATCGCCATTACCAATGCGAACAGAATCGCAGGGAAAATATAGAGATTTTGCGTTTCTTTGTTGAAAGCTGGTGGATGCTGGAAGATACTGAGACGACGGGTGCGCAGAGCCATGAGGTTGAACCATTGCCTGAGAGGATGTTAGTACATGGTATGAGAAATGAGGAATGAAAATAATGGAAATGGGTGACAGGAGAGAAAACATACATAACCACCAAATTAACAAAATAAATACTCGATGCCTCGGCCAATCTCGCATTCGCATAATCTTGATCGATGCTCTCCGGTAAACTTCCATATTTAAACCACAGATCTGTGAATGGAATTCCGTTCCGCTGTAAATACCAATACGACATTGCGAATGAAGATGCCGTTTCAATCACACCTATAAATCCATACGCTTGAAGAATAAGTTGCCAATCGACTAATCTGTCTGTTTTGGTATTTCGCGGTTTGCGGAGAAGAACATCTGCTTCAGGGGCTTCGTACGCGAGGACTGTAGCCGCGGCGCAATCGGTGAAACAACTTTTGTGAATTGTTAGTTGATACTCATTTTTACAGAGTAAAATACGGGCTGTAATGAGAGGGAAATACACATACCAGATAATAATCATCAAAAACGAAGACAATATCTGCGGCAACCCAAACGCCACATTTGTCATGACTGGCCAAAACTCCGAAAATGATCCCGCAGGCAATAGATATGCGATCGTCTTTTTCAAATTATCAAAGACCACTCTTCCATATTGGACTGCCTCAACAACTGCACTAAATGACTCGAGAAGAACCATATCTGCAGCTTCAATCGCTATATCCGAACCGCTTCCAAGTGCGATTCCAATATCAGCAGCTTTGAGAGAAGGAGCATCATTGACACCGTCACCAGTCATTGCAACGATCTCATCACGTTTTTGAAATTCGCGGACGATTCGTAGTTTTTGTTCAGGTGTTGTGCGGGCGAAAACGATTTCATCGTATTTGCATAGTTGATCCCATTGACTGTCATTAAGAGTGATTATCTCTGGTCCGCTCAGGACGATGGATGTTATTTGCGGAGTGATTGTATTGTCTTTGCTTTCATTTTCGGACTGTGAAGCTGATTCTGAAACGAGTTTATTTCGTGATAGGGCAGAGACATCTTTAACCATGTTTGGAGGATTGGTGATAATTCCGCATTCTGTAGCAATAGCTTGAGCAGTCAAAGCAAAGTCTCCAGTTACCTTTCACCATGTCAGTATATTTCATGAAATCAGATGAACATATAACTCCTACCATAAAAAATCGGATTCCAGCTCGTCTCAAAGTAGATACGACGGAAGGTATTTCATCACGAGGAGGATCCACAATACCAACGATGCCTACCAATGTAAGACCGGATCGTGCATGGGATGATATCTCTTTTTCAAAGCGACTTGAATCTGGAGTTGTTTTCAGCTCGTCTTTCTTGACAATCTTTCGTGCCAGTAAAATGACACGTCTGCCTTCTGCCGACCAGCTGTTCTTGATTTCTTCAAATTTCCTAAGTGCATCGCCGTCAAGAGCTTTCGAATTACCATCGATAGTGGTGTACATTGAGCATCTACCAATCAAGATGTCCGGTGCACCTTTAATGGTTAGTAGACTGTGATGAACAAAAAGTTAGTCATGATCTTTCGCTGGATGGTGGTATCTCACGTATCATCCGAGGCAAAACTTGTCGCTTCTTCGCTAGGAAGGGCATAAGAACGGCCTTCGGACTCGGCGAGTGCCAATGTTCTAACCATGAACTTATTTTTGCTATTGAAAGCCAGTTCAAAAGTTTTCCGCCACATGTTTCGGAGTTCAGAGACAGGACCGAGTGACTCGGAAAATCGTAATACAGCTTGATCAGTAGCATCACCATTGATCTTCCTATCGACAAGTGGTAGGTGCATTGTACTGGCGTCGAATTCTCCAGAGTTGCAAAGTCCAGCAATTAATCTCATTTGAGAAATTGCAGTATTGTTTCGACCACTTGAAGCCATCTCATCTTTGGCCGACTGTGGAATCATACTGTGCGTTCCTATGCAGCATTCTGTAACAAACATTTTGTTCTGATCATAATTAGTCTCTGAGGTGATTAGGGTTAGAGAAACAAACATACCTTTGTCAAAGTACCTGTCTTGTCTGAACAGATGACACTGACTGCACCTAAAGTTTCCACCGTCTTCAATGACTTGCAAAGAATTTTGTTCTTACGCATAAGATTTGCCGTTATAGTAAGTGATGCCGTTAAAGCAATAGGGAGACCCTCAGGAATGAATGCAATGGCGACAGAGACGCAATCAACAATCAGAGTTGGTACATTGATCCAATTAGGGTATGATTTCCTCAAGTACGCTGCCCTATATATAGATCAGCATTTAGCGTCCCCAAGTACCAAGATTTATGTGAAAGACGAACCATATAATGATAACAAGTACAATCATGGTTACCATGAATGCAACAATCACAAGAACAAAGTTGAAGACTTCTCGCTCGAGAGTAGTCATACCAGTTTTCGGGGTGTTGGTAAGTTGAGCAATCCTTCCAAAGACTGTTGTATCACCGGTAGCAACGACGATACCGATACCACTTCCGGAAATACAATGAGTTCCTTGAAGTCCGATACACCTTGTCTCCAAGTAATTTTCATCTGTATTGTCAACCATTCCAGAAAGCGGAAGTGACTCGCCTGAATTATTGAATCAGTATCATCACAGGAAGCGTGGAAATATTTGGGGAAAATACCAGTCAGAATGGAACGATCAAACTTTGCATCCGAAGACATTTCAATGAATCGTACATCAGCAGGAAGCTTGTTGCCAGCTTTTATATAAAGAACATCTCCTGGAACAATATCGCTGGCAATAACAGTGACACGAGCTCCATCTCTCAATAACAAACAATTGTCAGGTAACATGGTAGTAATTGAAGCCATGACTCTGGATGAAGACCAATCTTGCCAAGCATTAAAAGCTGCTTGTATGAAAAAGACAGCCAAGAGAACGATAGCAAGTGCTAGGTTTGCTGTTGATGGTGGGTCTCCAAGAGGTTTCCAGGAGACAAAAACGAGGATAGCGCCGACGAGGAGAATGGAACCAAATCCTTTGAAGAAGTAACCGAACCAGGTTTGGAAGACATGATTAGGAGGGTGAGATGGTGTATTCTTTCCATATTGCGATAGTCTTCGATTTACTTGTTCTTTCGAAAGACCTTGAGATGTCGTTGTTGATAGGCGCTTAAGAACTTCGTCCGGTGTAATTAGATGCCAATCCAGATCAGCGAGTGCTTAAAAAATGTTAGCATCGTGATGTAAACTTAAATATGGAAACACAAACCTTTTGCTGCCGACTTTTTAGCGAGTTGTACTTCCGCTGCATTCTTTTCTTGGGATCCTGCAATTTGGAATGAGACCGTTCTATATTGGATAGGAAGTGCCGATGATAATTCAATTGATGAACGCCTATGAGTTCGAATACTTAAACTATCAGGATCGACAGAGACTCTAGAATTGCTGCGCTCTAAAGGTGATGAGACTTTGACTCCAGATTCTACATCAGCGTAATGAATACGACGATGGAATTGTTCTTTTTCTCCATCTTCTAACATCTTCGTCTAGTAACCACCACTTAAGGGGTTGTGTGGGCTAGAACTCGTTTGATGCGCGGGTAATCGATGAGAAGTTGAGAATGAGAAAGTTGACTTCAATGAGTGATGCGGAGCGCATACGATGGAATAACCTCTCTCGATGTTTAAGAAGTTAAGGTATTTATGAATTTATATTCCTACACACCAGTCGAAGGGATCAATATATGCATATTTGAAAGACGTAAACAACCCATTTCGTCTCATCTCATCCCACCCTATACTTTCACCTCGAAAGAGCTGACAGACCCGTGGACAGGTAAGCTAGAAAGATACTCGAAATTAGACGTAAGTAGTGAATGTATCCAAAAGAGGAATTATCCCCTATCACATTTGCATCCCGTCTTTCGACAGAATCTTGCTATGCGTC